TAGTTACTTTAATATAATTTTTATTTAAAAAATTTGTATTTTTAAATGTACTTATAGTCATACGTCATGAATCACTTTTTTATTGAATCTTAAAAAATAATGTCAGTAGCCAATATTTAAATTTCTAAAAAGACTGATAGTAAAAATGAAATATTTATATGAAATATTATTATTTCATTATTATTTTAGCCATTATTATTAAGCGACTTAAATGTTACCAATCAATGCTAACATTAGTTTAAAAAATTAATTTTATAATTTATTATGCTATTGTTTATTGTATTTTATGCTATTAAAAAATTTAAATAAATTTTGCCGACTATTAAAACAGCTTAACTAAGAAAAACCCTTGTAAATTTTATATTTTTGACGGTAAACTAAACAAAGAAATCTTTTCTTTAAAGTTACTTAAGATATATAGCCATTATTGGCATTTGCATAAATATGTATAATTAGTTGATTCGGCATCAGGCCAAAATTTAGTATCATAAAACGACGTATTAACCGAATTATAAAGTCAGCTATAAAACCAACTCTATATAAATACAATTTTAATACTTCAACTAGAGTTTGGAAATATATATTGAATATACGCTTACTATACACATATATATAGCATTATATGTAACATATATATAGCAATATATAGCGTAATTATGTACTGGAAATATTCAAAAACGTAATGTGAATTGAAAATCTATTAAAACTCAGAGGTTTAATATGACTGAAAATAGATGTTAAGCCTGTTGCTTTCAATTTGATGAAAATCTTCTAAATTCATTCCAAAGAGATGATTTTAATGGGATAAAGCTAAATATAAATTTATTGAATAATCCAATCCAAAAATGATTGCACTGAAAGGAAGGAGCAAATGTGGTGAAGCTACTCATGCATAGTCTGGGTTCCATTTCATTTACCTGTTGAGCTTAATTAAACTCGTTGGAATTGAATTCTAAAATTTCCTGAAGGAGATTACTTGAAGCACCCTGTCTGGCTCAATCCTCTGCCTAGAACTTGCCGCAAATATACCTTAGAGAACTGCGTCGACATCTCATTTAGAGATTTGTAGCAATCAAAAATCATATAAAAAGAAAATAAGACTGAACTCTGCGACTATAAAGCAGCTTTACATTTTGATAGCATATACATATTTCTATTAAATATAGTAACCACTACCAAACAAAATTGTATCTCATATCGAAACGGACAACAAACGGACGAACTTGCTAATAAAATTATGTCTACACTTAGGTATTAGTGAAATATTCAAGTAATAACCTCCATAAGAGAGTAAGAATGGATTGAACACTAACCTTAGAATGTAAATGTAACAGGAAAATATAAAAAGTTTGTAATATAAAATCCCCATATCTCGAGATGTAATACTAACTCAGGATTGTTGACTCAACTAAAATCCATCTTCAAGTCGTTGTACCCACGATATTGGAATTGAGATGAATGTACGTATTATATATCTAATACTAGGGAAAGAAACAAAAAACAAACAAGGTACTCAGTTCTAAAAAATAGTGGATTATATGTACGACTCACTGTTTTAATAATTTTTAATAATGTATTGGCTTTAATTTTATAATTTTCATTAAAATAATATTATTTTCCAAACAGGATTTCTATTAAGTTTAAATGTTTCAAAAATTTTATTATTCTAATGATCTATAAAACTAAAATGCTCACAATCGATTGTACAATCACAAGACCACAACACCAATCAGAAGCGTTTAAATATTATAGTTTTCGTAAAAAGCACTAAGCTTCGTCTAAGCTTATGACGACAGCAATGCGCCAACGAAGAAGAAAATGTTAACACCAATTAACCATATTTTGTTTAAATTGTGACAACTGGCATTTGCAACAACAACTGCAAGCCAAACATATTATTGTTTTATTCACATACCCTAGCCTTAGCATCAGCATCAGCCACTACACCATAACAAAAGCAACAACAAAAAACAACAAAACTATAAAACTGGAATTTTAGTTGGACATTTAAATAGCCTAATGCTGGGAATTCCATCACAACAACAAAATGTGATCATTAAAAAAGCAAATCAAAAAAAATTGGCAACAAAATAACAACAAATTTAAAGCTTGAAAGCGTTGATACCCTCAAACGGTAGACATTTCACCCACAAGCTCGTACCAAGAAGCTTTAGCATTGCTAAATTATATTCGTTTTGGTGTTTTTTCTCGTTTTTTCTCGATATATGTAGCTTTTTATATGTGAATAGGTAAAATATTAATTTGAATTTCGCATATTTGAAGACAGTTGAAAAAAAGCAACAATTTTCTATTGAATGGTATTGTTTTTGTTGTTGCTACATGCCGCTTGTTGCGGTAGGTTGCGGCTGTTGTGTGGTGTATTGTGTGTTTTTAGGATTTCATAGTTTTAAATTAGCATAAAAATTTTTGTGCATAAATTAATTAAGTAAATGGGAATGAGTTAAATGAGTGTAAGCAAGATAGCAATATTAATAGTGTTTGTGCATTTAAAGACATTTCTATTATATGTAATTTAATTTGGAGAGAGCACTACACTTAAAAAATTTCCTTGGTTATTATATTTAAAAAAATATATTTCTATAATCATAACTATGAATTTTAAAATAATTAATTTTAATAGTTTAAAAATTAAACTATTTTAATTATTCTTAAATAGAAGCATTTACAACAATCGCAACAAAAATATTAAATATTATGAGCATAATATTATCATACTATAATATAAATATTAGACAATAAATATAATATAAAGGTTTAATCTTAATTTGACCTTAGTTCGACTATACATAATATATTATCAAGTTATCACATTTACCAAATCGTTACTTTTTTTGTTTAAATAACTAATTTACCGAATAAATGCCTTTGAGTATCTATTATGGCTTGTATATTGCTCAAAAAACTTAAGTTCTAGGCCCATAGCCTCAAGTTAAGGTTAGCCTCAAAATCCTTTCAAGAAAAATAAATTAATATATCTTATTCAATAATCCTGATGAATTTATAATAAATACACATTTGTGTAAATATAATCTGACATTTCATTTTGCTTTCTTCAGTCTCTCACTCCCCCGTGACCATGTGCCTATTATGTTCTAATAAACAGAGTCCACTGTATACAAACTTGTGTCCTCCATGTAAAAACGTTAGTATGCGTAAATGCTCGATTCATTTATACTATTTAAAATACTTGACATAGGTAAGCTTCCAATGGTTTTACAACTATTTTGATTTCTTAGGACTTCGGTTTTATTATTTCGCAGTACTTAAGGAAGCGCACGAGAGCGAAAGACATTTTCTTTCTTTAAAATATAAATTCGAATTTATTTGACCATTTGCAAATGAGAAACTAAAATGATAAACTATACATTACTTCCAAACCTGAGTGACACGATCTATCTTCTATTTTAGTCGTAGCGAAACATATACAACTGTATTGGTTGAAGATAGTTAAGAAAATGTATTAATAACATTGATAAATTGTAGACTCTTTTAGCAATATAAGTAACTCCATTTTTTCATCATAGTCAATGATATTGGGGGGTTTTAGGATAGCCTAAGGCCCCTATGCACTGCGACCAGCTTGATCTATTGTGCACCCACAGATTTCTCATCATATATTTGCTATATTATTAGATCAACACTATAGATAAAACTACCTATCTAGCAGATATTTTCAATAACATATGTGTTAATTTCTGATTTATTGTTTTCTTGTTTTATACAAAGTATTTAATATAAAATTAAATTTCAATGTTAGGGCTTCTGCTATATATTTATGTGATTCCTTGTGGTATTTTAATTTATTGTAATTTAATTTTCAATAGTTTTATCTGCACACCTAATGACTTTCTGGCTTTCAATAGTTAAAAGCTTTCAAATGTCTTAATATTGCCGACTCCAACTAAATGCCATATGATCGAATTCATATAAATTAAATGAAGTGTCTATTAATCTATTACTCAAATCCTTTTGTAAAATATTACATTTATAATTGGAATATTAAAAAAAAAAATAAAATAAAACATAATCACAAGTTTGTTGTACCTTTAGAGTCGTTTGGAATAAAATGTGTATTATATGTATGTATATGAGCAAAACTCCAGAATTCAATATCGTGGCTCCACATTTAATAGAGAATATATATCTAAAATATATTTTAATATATCCATAAATTATGACTGCTATATATGAAATTCTTTTCGCCATTTTTGATAGTAGTATCATGCAAATTATTCTTTTATGTTAGATAATTAACAATTAAAATTATTAAGAAATATTTTATATTAGGAATATTAGAGATTATACACTAATCTGTAATAAGAAAAATATAATTTACTATAAGTAATAACTTTTAGATATTAATTAATTTTTAGATATTAATTTTTTTTATATTACTTTTTTTGAAATTTGATAAGTAACGAATAAAATCTAATTAATATAAAAATTTGTCATAAAAAGTTTCATCAAATTTGTATAATTTTTATCATAATTTCAAAATCTATAACCCCGCAAGTTTTTTTTAATAAATTCTTCCATATTCTTCTTGCATACCACATAAATCAAAAATTAATAATCCACAATTGTTGACAGTGTAAAACTTTCTTTGAAAATATTTTTATACAACTAATCGAATACATGATATGCTCCCTTTGAATAAGTTCAAAAATTCAGTTTTATTTGTAAACTATTTATATAAAACTATTTTTTTTTTCAAAACTTAACTGGAAATATATGCAAAATATAGCATTTCAGAGACATAATTTAATACTGAAAAGAGTCGTACTTGAACTTGGCATATCTCGTACATCTAAAATCCAATGTTAAAGTGCTGAAGCCACACAATCGCACTATGTTGACATCCAATACGAATGTCATATCGAAATAACTTGATTAGTATAAAGATGGCAGCATCAGCCGAAATTAAGTCATAATCAATTCAACACTCAATCAAAACTGATTTACCTGCTACAAGCCTGAAGATGCGTATTTTTGTGGTACGTATCAAGAAAAATAGTTGGAATAATACAAACAAGGACTAAAACACAAACAAGGATTAACTAATTTTTATATTTCTTTTTTGTTTTTCTAATTTTATTAGGTTTTATGTTTAATTGCTGTTGCAGCCGCTCAATATGACTATGCTCCACAAACAGCTGGTCATGATGATAGCGCTCCTTTACGCGGCGATGATCAATTATCTCAACCAATTCAACCATCAAGCGAATTTAATAAGGAATTTTATTCTTACTCCGCACCTGAACATGAATTCGATGATGGTGGT